CCGAGCCGACGACCGGGCCCTGACCCTGCGCCTGGCCCACCCCCAGCTCATACTGCCGCTTCTTTTTCTTCTCCAAGTTAACTTGCGCGTAGAGCGGCTCACCGGGTTTCGGTTGCTGCAACACACACACAAGCCAACGGTTAGTTTAGAGCCCTGGCTCGGAGGGTAGCCGGGGGTGGATCGGTCTGGAGTGGGCTGTCGCGTCGCTCGGGGAAACGGGCCCGGTGGATCTTTTTTTTATTTCGTACCCCTTCTTGCTTCGTCCTTTCTGTTACCTCGATTTTATTTTACTTCTCATTTCGATTCCATTGCATTTTATTTATTTTTGGAAGATTAACCCTTTCGCTATTATGGTAAAAGGAAATCGTTATACTGATTTTTAGGTTGCAGATGGTTGATTAACACTACGCGCGAACAAATACTTGCTATGGAATTTCGAAAGGTTACTGTAGCCATTCTCATTATATGGACAGATACATCCAATGATAGCTATAACTTAACTTTGCGATCCAATATGAATTCAACATTTTATTCTAAATCTCTAATCAGATCGTATTCGATAGGTAAACTATTTCGAAAGCTTCTCTTAATTTGTCTTTCATTTTCTTAATTATAAAAATTTTTATACCAAATAACGTACACATATTGATATTTTTAATATTTTCATATTTTTATTAAATTAAGTTAAACTCGATGTAGGATCGCGAACAGTTAAGTGATTAATAGCGAAAAGGTTAAAATATAATTAATTTTACAGCTTCTTACATCTTCAAGGGCATTTAATACGCCTCATTTTTGTACTTATAAAATGACAAGGTAAGCCTTTAAAAACACCGACTCGTATCTTACAATAAATCAACCATAAATAATATTACCTATACAACCATATCTATCAAAAATCAAGAATACTGAAAAGGAGAACGGGAACAAAACTCCAAAGCTCGTAAACAATCGTATTATGACAAAAAATATAACAACAGCGACACGATAGTTACTGTCAGATACTCTTTTATTATGCTCGATTAATTTGGATATAAATAGATTATAAATAAGTTCGTGCAATAGTCAATGTGTCACTATAAACCATGCTTCGAGGTGCGCTTAGCTTTTCTCTCATACGATAAAAGTCGCTTAATGAGTGTGTCTGTCTACGCGAGTCGCGTTTATATATATATATATATATATATATATATATATATATATATATATATATATATATATATATATATATATATATATATATATATATATATATATATATATATATATATATATATATATATATATATATATATATATATATATATATATATATATATATATATATATATATATATATATATATATATATATATATATATATATATATATATATATATATATATATATATATATATATATATATATATATATATATATATATATATATATATATATATATATATATATATATATATATATATATATATATATATATATATATATATATATATATATATATATATATATATATATATATATATATATATATATATATATATATATATATATATATATATATATATATATATATATATATATATATATATATATATATATATATATATATATATATATATATATATATATATATATATATATATATATATATATAAAAAGAAGAAAAAGAAAACCTCTTTTTTACATTAATAGTTGATCGTTAAACACGCTGCATTTTTCGGTGATATTAAACAAACAGTGTTGTTTATCAAAAAAAAAAAAAAAATCCGCGGTAATGATTTTTGTGCTTTCATTAACGTTACCCTGCTTGTTCGAACTACAAAAATGGAATCGTGGTTTTAGTCGAAACCGAACTCTCCATGTATACACGTAGATTACTTGTTGCATTCTTTTTTTTCTTTTTTAGACATTAATTCTTATTCTATATCGGAGATAGACTCTGCATCATCTGGGTCAACGAGTCAAAATTAAGTCCTCTATAGAAACGGATTTTCTCATAATGGGAATCTCATAGAACTAGTGAATATACTGTCGCGCTACTACGGTAATCGCACTAATCACTGTCAATTAGGCAGCGGATCAGCCTCTTCGTGTAAATATTTTGTGCGCTTCTTCCATTTTGTTTTGGTTCAATTTGCGATACTTGATAGAACGATTAGCGGTTGAATTTTGGAAAGACATTGGTTTAACTGATTTCGTTGGATTTACACAACTTATTGCAATGGCTGAATGCGCTCCCTAATCGTTGGATAATGTCAAGTACTTGGTCCTGCAATAACTAATCTACTATACAATCGTAGAATAATGCGAGACACACTTCAACACTAATAAACCGACGGTTTAACTTTTCCGTATGTATATTTCTTCCTATTACGCTATACGGACATAAATAATAGAGTATCTCTCGAACAAGGTTCTTTTGTATCGTTACATAGTCGCTAATAAATGAAATCACGAATTATAGCTAAGTAAATCGGAACAATGAATTATAAATGAATCGTTGTCCCTTGCGTAAAGTCGAATCGAAAAATTTTCCTTGTTATAATTCTTCTTCACCGTAAGTATAAAAAGTTGAAAAGATACCAAATGTCAAAGATTCGTTGAAAGAAAAACCGTAACGAGTGTAACGGACGATTCGAAGAAGCAATCACCGCGTCGAACGGATAAACGAACGAAACTTTACATTAAAATGAATGCAATTACATTTGGACTTGCAATATGCACGTTCGTTATCACGTGTCTCGCACACGACGTAAATCCTCTCTCGGACGCGCGGCGATAACAACGCGTTTTGCTCACGTTTTGTTCGCGTTATGTAAGTATATCGGTCGATTATTATATAAAAATGCTAGATACTTGATAATTCCATGGACTGTAACGGGAGACCGCCGTTAATGCGACCCTTTTCTCTCTATCGTAATACTGTATACATTATACGAATAATGCTGGTTTCATATAACATGAAACGCGATGAATATAATTGGTACTCGTTAATTGACTTAGTTTATACACTTATGATAAATGTTCATTAAGTAGCTGCTTTCTCTTTTTTTTATCACAACTGTGTGAGGTTGTCGCTTCTATTTTTTATTTTCCCGCCCTCTTCCTTCTCGTGATTTTCCGCTTTCGTTACAGTGACGATCGTTTTTTGTTTTTTTTTTTTTTTTTTTTATTTTCCTCCTGTCGATCTCCGTGTAAGCGGATAAATATCGTATAAATAATTCTGCGTATCCTTCGCCTACTCTAGCATTTCGTACAAGGAAATGCCTCGTCTTTCTCGCAAATATATGTATATATATGATAATAATAAAACAGATAACAAAAAAGATAAAAAAAAACAACGAAATCGATTTGTGTACAGTGAAGTAGAATCCTCCTTCTTTGTTTCATCAAACTTCTAAAAATAAAAACTAACAGGGTATGTAGAATCTATTGCTTGCTTGCCCCTGACTGTCTGTCTGTCTGTTTGTTTGTCTGTCTGTCTGCTTGTCTGTCTGTCTGTCTACCTGTCTGTCTGTTTGTCTGTCTGTTTGTCTGTCTGTCTGTCTGTCTGTCTGTCTGTCTGTCTGTCTGTCTGTCTGTCTGTCTGTCTGTCTGTCTCCTTCTCCCTCTCTCCCTCTCTCTTTCTTTCTTTTTATTGAACAGCGAAACGCAGCGGCAAGCTTATCGATAAGGGGAAGACTCGATTCGAAAGGAATCACGTTTTGCTACTGGGTCTTTATGTCTTAACCTGTACTTTCATCTTACAAAGCTCATCGTTCGTTCTTAAAACTCTTATTGGACGTGTCTCTTTGTTTATCTCATTTTTAAACGCTTGCAAACAAAAAACTGTGGTAACTGCGAATAAAATAAGTGACAATGTAACGAAATGTCACAAAAGCCGGAGCCGGATCAACGACCGTCCGCGTTTCTCCAGAAACGTACTTTCTTACACTTTCGAGTAGTCGTGAGGAAGATAGCGCTTAGTTTAAACGCCAGCGGAGTCTAAGTGCTCGTCACACAGTACCATTAGTTGTTGTTACTTACAGGCTGATATATAGTGGGTCGACCGACGTTATTCGAATTCATGTTCGCTCTCTGAATCGTTCTGTCCTCGTATCTGGTGCTCCCTTGACTCGCCATCGGTCGGTTTAGGGTGCTACAATCATAGCTATATTCAACGGAGGGTCGAAGAGTTCAAAAAGATCGTGAAAATATGGACTCTGCTTAACCGAAATTATCTAACAAAGTAGAATTGAACGGGGAAAACATATACATAAAAGTTAAACGCAGAGTCCGGGAACAGAAACGACAAAAATAAAACATCGGTTAGTCTTAAAAGGAAGAAATGATTATAACTTGAAAGCAAATAATTATTGACTGTCGATTAACGAGTGGTTACCTATTGGCATTGTTAGGTGAATTAGGCCCTGAATTTCGCGCTGCCACCGTTTTCGTGACGAAATCTTGCTCTTTCCAGCCGTGCTTCTTGTAAACGTCTCTCAGCTCTTGGTGCTGCCACATTGTGAACAAAACTTGTCCTACAAATTAACCGATATTTAGTTCTTCTCAGGAAAGTTCAGAAAATACGTACTTATATTTTGTTTGCAGAAATTTAGTAAAAAGAAATTGGCTTATTCTTGCCTGCAAATTTAAGAACACGAGGCGTGTATTTCTGGCGTTGCCTAGTAATGTTCATCAATCGGTCGACACCGCCAGCATCCAACAGAGATCGCGAGAACTCGGCGTTTTTCTTGATCACTTCGTTCAATGTGGCGAGAACGGCGGCGATTGTGTCGTCACTTGTTCCTTGATCATGCTGGTTATTTCCTGAAGGTAACTTCTGAATGAGATCACGCATCGCGTATTTTCCGATCAGCTCCTTGTTACGCTGGTCTATCGCTAGATTTCTTAGAGCTGTGGCCACAGCACAGACTACGCGGTCCACCTAAAATGGACGAGCAGAAATAACATTTTTTAAAACTTTCATAGAACCAGCGCACATATTTTTCAGATTGTTTGATTACTCAGCAAAGTAAATGTAAATACTCCAATAAAAATGTTAATGGTAATATAACAAAAATAGTTTAATTGATACAAATTTTAAAAATATGAAAATCAGTTAAACGTTTCTACTCTCCAATTTTTCTACTTTTCCATATTCCTCCGCTGAAGTGTACCCAACCCTATTTAAAATGTCTATCTACCGCGTCGCTATGTTTTATTTCATAAAAATTCTATCCGATATATTCATCAATTGCTCCGCGCTACATTCCACGAATAATACTGTACCTCCATCCGCAACAACTCCACCAAAATGGGAAGTCCCTTCTCCTTCCTCACAGCCGCGCGAATTTCAATACTTGGCTGCCAGTAGCAGGCTGCGAGGTTCTGAAGCGCCCCAGCCGCCGCCTCGAGAGTCTCCGGATTTGAGCATGTCTGCAGCAATTTCAAATAAGACTGTACTACTTCTGGTTGCCAGAGTAGCTCCATTCCTCTGACGGGTTCCGTTCTAGGGCTGGTAGTGCGAGATGCGGTCGTTTCCTTTTGCACTGGTTGACCATCCTTCTTCTTCTTGCTGCCGCCAAAGCAACCCAAATTTTCACCTAAGGCACAGTGATTTAAAACTGATATTAATTACAAGAAAGGATCGTGATCAAAGTATTAAAAATCTCTTTTTTTTTTTTTTGTTGAAACTAAAGCGAGGCTGAAACATAAAAAATTTGTGAACCACAGCAGGGTTAAGTATAATGCTTTTATAGTGTTTTAATAGAGATTGTGTGAATTACTTTCAGTGTATTTGCACTACTTCTATCAGAGAACTACACCAATGCCTGGAACATCGCAAACAACGTGTTGACAGAACAATTGCAACCAGCCAATCATAGAAACAGGCGTACGCAAGATGCACGAAGGGTATGTACTGTTAACGCTTGATGTACACGAACTGCTAATGAAATTAATGAGCACTGTAAAGACGATTAATCGTAACGCGTCAAAGCACAGCAATATTTTACACATGTTCACTCTTCACTCTACGTACTGTTGGTGTTCTCTATTTACGCGAATTATGTATGGATTTTGTGCAATGTAATGACAAGATTCGCTTTGTTTATCGAACAAAATATTCATCCGTTAGAGTACGTGGCCTAATCGACGGAATCAATATTAGAACAATGATTGCAACGTCGATCACGTGGTTTGTTTGCCAACGATAGCGAACCAGTCCATAAGTTATCGGTAGATTCACGATAAAAGAAATTGTCGTGTGAACAACTAAAGTAACCGTTGAGAAGCGTGGCATGCACTGGCTTTTCGGATTTGTTCGATGAAAGAAATAAAATGTCTTACCTTGACATAAACTGTATGCTAAAAAGATTGAAACACATCTTTAATCCATGCTAAACTAGAAAGGATATAAAGCTGTCTTTTTTTTTTCTTTTTTCTTAGCTCTTTTTTCTTTTTTGCTTCTTGTCTCTTGTAGTAGTAGGATCTCGTACGAAAGAAGAATTTGCGATACAAGGCTCATGAGAAACAAGAGAGAAATCATAACACCGAAGGGAACACAAAGATTAGTGTAGTTGCAAAGAGATACATACTAATCGACTGGTAATATGTGCTATTGCTAGTTAGGGTATCGTCGTCTCGCAAAGACATCGTTCCATCATTATCACGAATACACGCAATTATGTTGGATCAAATGTGTAAGCGGTATATCAACAGAGACGTAAGCACTACAACGAATGTTCAGTGTACACAGATGTGGAATATATCATTTTGATAGACTCAAGAAAGTATACGGGGTCAACTACGACTCCTAATTACTACCTTGCACGTTTCACACTCGATAGAATCTGAAACGTGCAATATATCATTAATATGCGACTGGTTTACTGTACAATACTGTGTTGCCAAGCGGATGTATGTTTTCAAATGCTCCGTTTTCTCCGTAACAACTCGATCAATTTCATGTAAAACTATTACTAAGGGACTATCGATCTTACTTTTCGGAGAACTAATTTTCATCGTACGTCAATTTAGCCTACTCCGTGTAAGTACAGAATCATACAAAAGCAAGGCAATGTTAAGTCTCGATGCTTGCAACAACATGCTTAAACAACAGAAGAATTTTATGCTGTGAAGTGGCCTTAAAACTCGTGATAAAGCTAAGAATAACCATCTAAATTTTTAAAATTTTATCCAGGTCACAAAGTACTCTACGAATTATACATTTTCAATTTTACCACTTATCGATAAACCACAAACCTTTATTAGTCTACCTTTTATTTGACACAGATCATCAAAACTATATTTACAAAAAGCACGCAATACCTAAAGCTTCACAAGTTGCTGATAAATTGCAAAATTAGAAATTCAGAATACTCCATAACTATTAAGCTCTGCATTACATTGCTTTTGCAACACACTGTACCACGATGATCTGCTGCAATTTTAGCGTCACAATACCGCTCGTATATACAGAACCGATTCAATAAAACGACACAAAATTACACCCGCTCATCCTTCTTTTCCGTTTGTCGATCCGCTTATCATCAGCGCACACACAATTCGGCTGCATGCGTGTCACCACATGCCCATTGAGGGAACCCGTGTGTTTACCATGGCACGGGGGAAGGATACACTCGTGTCATTCTCGAAATGCAGGAGTATCCTCGCGAGAGTCATCGACAAACCCTCACCTTTGACTGGAGCAGCTACCCTGTTCTGAACGGTTGACTGAATCGGATGTTTGTCGTAGTTTGGGTCCTCCACCTCCTGACACCGATAACTCAGGTTCCGCAGAATACACACACAGTTCTCTACGATCTTGTTCCCGATGTTCGACTTCTCGATGGCGGATCGTACTACGTAAAGAAGAGCGTCGACCAAACCTTCGCACTCGCGCAGTTTCTTCCTTGCATACTCGCCAGCGCTAGAGACGTTTCTTAAGACGCCAGATGCGTTTCTGAACACGGTCGACCAGCATGTCTCGCCACTGGAAGAGCTTGGATCCCAGCCACTGTGCGGAATAATTATGTTGTTCACCACCATCGTTACGCCATCATCGATGATGGATTTCTTAAGGTCCTGAAAGAATGAAAATGTAAATACGTCTATAATAGTCTATAATCTATTTATAAATATACTATTTAGGTTGTCCAAAGGTTTAATAGCCAACTTCGACAGTATATTCTACTATTAAATTCGTAAATCAATTCTACCTTTGTTTACATAACGTTATCGTCGATTAGGCTAAAAAGTGTTGAGTTAAATATATTCGTACAATCGTAAAATTCTATCAAATATACCATACACGTCTACCCACCTCGCACGAGGATAAATTCCAAAGAACCCCCGTCACCAGTTCCTTCACGTCCGCGTCAGACGTCCTACGTAATAAATTGATCAAGGCCGGAACACCGCCGGCGTTCTTGATAGCCCTCTTATTTTCGTCATTCTGTCTGCCGTAAGACAAATTCCGCAGCGCACCACATGCATTCCTGTACACGTCTGGATTATCGTGATCCAATAATTGCACTAACGGTGGTATTCCACCTAGACTTCGCGTCTTCTGCTTATTTGGATCGTCCATGTAGCATAGATGCTGCAGATACGCGGCAGCGTTCGCCTTGATGATGTTGTTCGGATTACTCAGGAAGCCGATCACCTCCGACAAGTTCGGATCTCGCCATCTCATGGACTTCTGATCGTCGTCCAATGGACTAGCCATGCCGGGCACCACCGGATGTCGAGATTGTAGCCGTTGAAGATGAACCTCGTCGTCAAACATTCCCGGAGGAACTCCAGAGGTGAGTGGGACCGGATGGCCTTCGTCGTAACCGGGCACATCGCTAGGAACTGCGACTGGACCTACCCCGACGCCAGGGCCGTATCCAACAGGTCCATAAGGGGACGGAGACACGTAACCGTAAGCCACTTTATTCTCGTCTGGAAAAATGGGATGCCACACGAGGTTGATTACGATTCGACGATATGCAGAGCTTCCGCTAGATTGGCTCTAACGTTGTACTGCAGTATTCCATTAACTGGCCCACGGGCCTGAATCTTATCTGATCACTGATCAGGTATAGAGGAACTATTACAGGGTTGGGACTTTCATAGTCAAATAAGAAAAATCAACGGTTTGTGAATGTATTAAAATTACAACGAATTCAGAATGGAAGATTTAGAAAATAGTTATCCCGATGTCAGTAGTTTATAGTATATATAGATATTATATCATAAATGCTACATTTTAAATTTGATGATTTGATGAATACTATATTCGATAGTTTGCTTGGCGCGATAGTTCTTTCGCGGGCTACACTGCTAAGCTAAAGGATGGGGAGGAAACATTAATGGTGAGCTTGGAATTCTAGCTTTCTAGCCGAAGATCACAGATTTGATTTCTAGGTTTCCTTCTTTTCCTTTGCTCCAATATATTTCTAGAAACCCTAGATGTTTCCATTGAATGCACACGATTACCTGACATATGTGTCTATTTTTCAATATTCGTTCCAAGAAATCAGTTTTCATAACCGCTAGGGATATGAAGAGATGGTCAGTTAAGGAATGAAAATCCCGGCCAGTTAACGTGTCACTAGTGTACTCGTATAGTTGAAACGCATAATTCACTCGCATTATCTGTGCGATGGTAGTAGCGTGGTTTGAAACAGTGGAATATGGACTCGCGACGTTAAAGAGACTCAACGACGATAAACGCGGTCAGATGAAGTTTAACAAGAGTGAAAGAGGCAAGAAGAGAAAGGAAGTCGACAAAGGGAAAAAGAGAGAGAAGAATAGAAAGAGAAAGGCAGAGAGAATGAGTTAAATAAATTATTGATGTGACCCTACCATGAGGATGCTGAGAGGGTTCGCCAGAGTCATCCATATTCCAAGAGTTGCTGATTTGATCTAGAGAGAACACAAAATAACAACGAATGTCAGGCATAGAGATAATTAAAGTGAATTATGCTGTGCCCCGTGCACGATCAGACAAATAGCCGTGGCCCGCTGCAACATGATAGCTGAATATCTCATTATACAGCTGTCTAGGTCAACGTTGCGCTCAAAAAAAAAATCCTTTCGATCAAGAAGAAACGTCAATGATGCGACAAAGCCTCGAAAAAAAAATGCGGATTATGAGCTATCTATGAGCTATCCCGTATCTTCCCGTTTCGATAACGAACATACCATATTGATCTCCGGGACCACCAGGACTAGGAGTAATACGATAATGATCTTGCAACGCGGGGTTCAAACCTGGATCGATGTCGTTGTAACCGCCTTCCACATATGGCGCCGCCTTACGTAGGTATTCTGTAAGAGAAATAAAAGGAACATCTTAGACGTAAAGAGTAAAGAGACGTAAAGAGGTCTTCGTTTATTCTACTGTTTTCCGCGGTTCTAAGTAACTTTCGTAATAGTGACGAGACCATGTAAGACGGATAAAAATAACCGATTGCTTACCATGCGGAGGCGAGGCACGACTGTGCTCAGAAGGACTATGAGGACTGTGAGGAGAATGTGAGCGTGGCATGTAGATACCATGCGGACCCGGATACCCTGGCTGTGGTGGATAACCGAGGTACGGCTCGTAATGTTCAAAACCGACCATGTACGAGTCCGCCGGGTATCGCCGGTCCGCGTGCTGATAATCCTGAGACATCAATGGAACTGACATGTAACTCACTGCGCCTGGATCTGGCTCCATGTGTGATACCTCGCGAACAACTTTCGACACGTTTGTCACCTGTGAAAATTTCAACAGTTTATAGAAAGAACGAGACCGCCAAGAATACTGGAGATGCTGGGAATGCTGAGAATAATCAGGACACTTTGAATGGTAAGAATATCTAGAATTCTGAGAATGTTCGGAATAATAGGATTGAACATTCTCAAAATGTTAAGTATAATTCAATTATCATTTCTGAAAATGTTAAAAGTACCGGAAATGAGTATGATGATTTGCAAGGGAACCGATTTGGAGGATTCCGAGAATGTGAGAATACCGAAAAAAAATATGGGAATTCAAGTTTTGAAAAGTAAAGTAGCAAACAGTGAAAATGCTGATAATGAACGAACGCTGAGGCTTTTGAAAAATATACGAATAACGAACATTGACATCCTTTTAAAACTTTGAGAACTCGCAGTACGTTAAGAATAATAAGAAATCTAGGAATTGTCAGAACTTTGTGAACACCGGCAATCAGTCACTGCAATTTTAAAGAGAACTGAGAACTTCGATAACTCGAAGAATATTGAGAGTAATGGCAACAAGCGTACAACGTACTACGAGTACTGAGAATAACGAGAACACGGCTTCGAAGGGAACAATCGTTAAGAGTAAAAGGAAATCGTTGCTCAGCAAATTAGACCGTTGCTAAAACTGGAAACGGATCTCACTTGTTGAGTAGTTTGCTGCTTATGGCTGCGGATAAGTAATGGATCCTCTTGGACAGACAAATGAGATGAATGCAACGAATGGGTGTCCGCCTGGCCGTTACTTCCGTGGTAATCTGCATCACTCTGTCCGCTGCAAAACGTTCGCAATAATGATCAATTAGAGTCGCTCGTCCCATCGTGCAATCGGGAACAATCGGCGATTTATTCGCGTAAGTTCGATAACTTACGTGTATTGCGGCATGTCGGGGCCCTTCTCCTGGAGAACGCGTCTGGAAAAATATAACGAGACCGATTACATTCTGATCTACGATCGTCGAACAAAACTACCAAATCGAATTACCACGAAAATGAAAGAATATTGAAAAAATATCGATCGAATCGTACACGTTTATATGATACTTTGTAAAACAATGGTAGCAAAAAAGATAATAAATAACTCATGCACTTCGATCAAAAAATAACACGCTGAAATTAAATGAGCAGACTAACAAAAAGAAAAGGGGGATCGAAGTACAAAGAAAAACATTCAAATACAATCCTAACTACGCCAAACTACTCTTCTCGCGTTTTTGTCACACATCGCTCTGAACCATGCTAAGTAAATGCAAACGAACGCGTGTTCGTGCCACCGACATTACTCATTCTGACAACTTTATATCTCTAACTCAATATTTTTCACGAATGAGCCACGAATTTTCTCAAAATTTCCAAAATTGGCAACCATCTTAATGAATTAGACGAATTAGATGAATTCTGTGTACATGATACGTCGAAAGTGATACAGTTGCAGTACAGGTGATAAAGTAAGCTCAAGAGTAAATCAAATGTTTCGAAAGTCTAAACAAGTCATTTGAGACATTTTGGAGAAGACAAGAGTCTAGAGTTAATTATTATTAAGTAAAAACTTCGCCAAAGAGTAACTTAATCCAATAGGAACGTCAGTCAACAGCGATCATCGTAGATAAATGCGTTAGTTGCGTAGACTCGCGGTCAGAATGACTAACCTCGGTTAGGTCATGTTAGTCACCTCTGTGTGATCTCAGTGTGCGTTATACTGTGCTCCTGTCTCTCGACGATTCGACGATTCACCAGCCTGACATTAATAATTTCGGTCTGATTAATTTGGGTGCTGAAACTACGTGCTTCCTAGGGTGCAACCTCGAGTTAGATATCTTGTAACTGTCTTTTTCATCATTGATTCCCCACGATTCCCAGGCCTCGTATGTATTACCTTTTATTCTCTTTTTTTGTCTATCTGAGGCGCCAGGAAAAATGGGCCAAACGAATGGAACGACAGCAGGATAGACGAAAGAGATAGTCGAGTCTTTTTGTTTCTTTCTAGCTATTACCGGGAAACGAGTTTTGCCAATTGGCCGAGTTACGTCTTGCACTAGCCGTGTAAGAGAGAAGGGGAAAAGCAGAGTTCATTTTACGATCACCGGCTTCTTATTGAAACGAATAGAAAGAGATACAAAGATCAAGGGACATAATGAGAGAAATAGAGGTATTAATCGGTTACGAGTCTCTCGGCAGAGAGCTCAAGGAGAGAAAGACACTTACAGACAGGAGTCAACCAGCTGATTATTTGACATACCAGCTGATTTTTCGTCTCTTGCGGCTCAGCAGTCAATGATGACGTCTCCTGGAAGCACACCAAACGAATGAAACGTTAAAGCAACATTTGAATGTAATGGATTATCACATTTATTTTATATATCACGTATCTACATTTTTTCCATAGATTTTTACAACTTTTCCATTTCATTTCCAACAAATGATTTTGTTTTTTTATCCATTTGAGATAATACATATTAAAACCAAAAGTTTGGGATCATTTTCTCAATCGAAGCACCTGCTAATTTATACTAATTTTAAAAATACTTTAATTCGACAGGTCTAAGGTGATTTTCTTCAAATTCTAGAATTTTATATATAACGCGCAATAATTTCAAACTTTTAGATAATAATGCGACGCATTTTGAAAAATTGACACTGTTCTTAAATTATATATTTGTAAATTTTCCAAAGTTAATAATATACAATATCCGTAATAATAATAATAATCACAATATCTATTGTACATACATACTATTTATTCCTAAAATATCCTCAGTATAACTTTGATGCCACGCACAAACTTTTTCGTTTTCCTTTTTAAAAACAACCTTTATATATCACCTTCCTTTAAAAAATGATAGAAAGACTGAAGAGGTGCGTGTTTGCAGCTCGCTTATACGAATCAACTGTGCTGTTTACGAGTCTGTTAACGACTACTGTATTGATCGGAACATTAGCAGAGAAGGTCTAATTGCACGACTTATACCTACGTTCTTTTAATACTTCCCACGAAGACGGTTAAGAAGTTTATCCATCTACTTAAAAACTTTTCACGATTTCTATCGAGCATTATTAATTCATTTAAAAGGAACGACACGAAAGCTTTTCATACAGAATAATCAGTCTCCCGTGGGAGAACAAAAACAAAATGATCGATACAACTAGAATATCAAGCATGAAAACTCGTTAGTCCAGGTTAGACGTTAATTTTGTTTCGAGACCCACATGATGTCTCCTTTTTGATTAACCTTCTCCTTCCCATCGTCCTTCTCCTTTTTCATCTTTTTATTTTATTAATTTATCTCTGACCTCCCACCTTTTTTCGGTATCCAGCCGTTAATTAATTTTGTTACTCTTTCGCACAACGTGCAATTACCAGACAGAGAGAATCGTGGCATGGGTCTCACGCGTAATCACTGCATTAAAATATAAAACGAGCAAAAGAGCTTAATTAATTTGTCACCTCGTCGCTCTTTTATAGCGTGTTTCGATTGCCCTCCGGCTGTATACGAGTACATATATCTACATAGGTGTACACGTATACTCGAGCTCGTGGAAAGGATAGAGCAAAGTTCGGTAACGAATTCATCTAACGCAACTACGATGCGGGAATTTCGCCGGCGAGCTGCCTCCTAAAAGGATTCTAGCCTAGTCGACCAGTATCATCGCCAGATTCTATTCGACCAACGAAATTCGTTTCCACTTATTGTCCGGAATTGTCCTTTTTCGCCTCCTGAATAATCGCCTCCGAGGATATTTCAGACCCTCCTTTTTTAGAAAGGAATCTCTTTTGGAGCCGGTACGATATCTTACGGTTCCGGTTCGTCGAACACAAAATATTGAAAGTAAATGACGAAAGACTTCAAAGACAACATTTTGAATGAACGGTATCCACGATTTAAGTTAACGAATAAAACTGTGTACGTATAAAGATTACAGGAAAAAAGCACGTTGAGTAATGTGTAAAGTTCTTGTTTAAAATCTTCTCAATGATATATCACGATTAGATAAGCGATCCGTTTTTAATTGCGATTAAATAAAAAACGACGAATTAACCGATTTTAAATATTGTTACTACAATTGATCGCAATAATTAATTGCAATTAATTGAACGCGATAGTCTCTCCATCAATTTAGAAGAACCTCCTTCATTTTATTCGTAGCTTGACAAACATACCAGCTGAAGATAGAGTCCTTAAATAATAAAATAATGTTTAACAACTACAAATACTAATCCTTTCAATGCAAAAATAAATTTTATCGATTCGTAATATTCTACGAGTTCTAATAAAACATAAAATTACTCCGATCTTTCTATCTACAATTTATCATATCTTGCTAAAATTGATGATCAAATGTCCGTATGCTGCTGAGTGCTAATGTACCAGTAAGTATACAAGTACGCTATCCGCGAAAATAAGCCACGTAGTTTCAATGTATCAATACGCGATACATCGCGAATGGGTTAAAATAAGAAACGATTACATAAAAGAACTTGTCGAGTAATAATTGCATTAACATCGATTAGGAACGCGGGTACCAGCGACATCGATCTCGTTCTAGGCGAATCCAGGTCGAAAGCACGATAAGGGAAAGGGAACTTAAACGAATTCCCTAGTCTGTCCCTTGTTTCATCTTATCCGAGGGAACGGGCTCACGATATTTGCCATTGTCGCAATCTTTTTATCACCTGCTAGTGAATTCGACCACGTGCCGGGACTCGTAATACCTTAATAGCTGCAGAAGAATAGGCAAGATATTCTCGTGCTTCCTTCCTTCCAGTACTCTTACTACTTCCTTACTATTATACTTGGACGTTTGAGAAGCAGAACCGTGTTCGAGACGAACGAACGGGACCGTATTCCGAGAATAGTTTCGAGACTGTAAAAGTGGGCCAAACTCCGTTCTATGGTGAAGGTAGATTTCGTTGACAACCGGTTATTAACAGTAGTTTTCTTTAATTACCGAGAAGTTACACCAACTTGGAGTTTAGTGGCACCGCGTTTGGAAACTGTAACCCTCAATTTAATTCGTCCAAAGAATTTACCTACGCTCTTACGGGCTTCCATGAAGTAAGGAGTAGAGTAGCGCGATTTGGTAGATTAGAAGCGAAACACGAGGAAAAACGTTTAGTTGAAATCCTTGTTTTCCGGCAACGAACGTTAATCCTCTCAAAAACGTTTACTCTCTCCGCGGTACTCAACCAACTTTTTCCCTGCAATTCTCTTGTCCAAACCTCGCCGGGGCACCTGCATTTCCCCATAAGACTAAACAAATCTTGTCGAGTCGAGATACTAGAAAAGGGAGAGAGAGAGAGTAAAATACGATACACTTAACGTTCTTTAGTCTTAAAACTCTGTGCATCTTAACCCGGTACACCACCGCCCATTCTTGTTTCCACGATGCGCCAGGAATCGATTTTCTCTGCCAGCGTTTCCGCGCAAGATGCATTTCCCACAGGATCTCTCGGCACTCGGCAGGATCTTCGGATCGTCCTTCGAGTGAGGGCGGGACCTCCCAACTCGAGTAATTAAGACGCGAAGCGAGGCTAATTGCCGTGCGACTAACGAAGTGCGCGATTTCCGCTGAGCTGCGACCGCAACCATCGAAGAACCAAGACGCGTCCATTTGACCGAAATTGCATCCTTACTAACGAGCTCTTTTTCTTTCTTCTCCTCCTTTTATTATTCCTTTTTTAACCTCTTTCATTGTCCTTTCTTCTTAGTCCTTTCATTGCGTCCAGCGTCGTCCTTGCAACCAGAACGTTACCTTACTACTAGTTATTTCCACGCATGTACACACACACACACAGGTGGGAGTTGTATGTTTAGAGAAGGGTACAGTCATCCTCGATTAATGCTGCAATTAAGCCCTCTCTCTTTCCTGTTTACCATTCTCTTTTGCTCTTCTTTTTTAGGGAGCTCTCTCTCTCTCTCTCTCTCTCTCTCTCTCTCCCCGTGTTGTTCTTCCACTCATCTTTGTCGGTTTTTGAGGTCTCCTTTGTATTGCCTTTTTTAGCCTTTTTTTTTACCTTTTCTAAGGTCTTAGCTCCCTTATCCCTTTCACTCATCTTCTCCTATTCTTTTGAAACCTTTTTTGCTGTTACTTTATAATACCTTTTTGTCATTTTCTCAACCTTTGAAATATTGTCTTTTTATTCTCTATTTCTTCCGTTTTTCAGATCCTGTTGTTCCTTTTAACTCATCCTTTTTTCCTTTTCTTTGACCTCTGCGTTAATTCCTTTTTCTTGCGTTCTTTCCTTAAATTCGCACGTTGTTTTTCATCTCACTCTATTTTCCCTAATCCTTAAACCCGATATTAATTATACCGCATTTTATATGTTATTTTATTCAAATTTTCTTACACACGTTCCACAAATTCGAAAGAAAAATGAACATGTCTTAACCAATCTGTTATTAGTTTACTATATCGTCCTAAAATTTTGTCGTGCTAGTTTCTTTTTCTATTATTTTATTACTATTCTTAGCACGTTCCGCTCGAATAATAGCAAATATAATATAGCATTTTGCTCTACAATATTTTGCGTAAATTTTTTGTACGCTTCACATAAACTCGAAAAAGAGATAAAACACGTCTCGCGCGGAAATAAAAATTCAACGATTACGATACGAACAATGGGATTTCCGTGCGATCGGAGGCAGAGATGAAAGAGAGGCAAGAGGGCCGATGCGTTCCAGGGCACGCGTTTAACATTCCTGCTTTGAATACGTAATTTTCAGTGGTCGAGGCGGTGGAGGTAGCCTGGCCGGGGACAAGCACAATGCACGCGTGGTTTTATCCGCATCTCTGCTGACACACGTGACTATAAAAGACATTCCTCGAACGTTACAGCGAACCGAGGCCACTATACATTTCGAAAAATACAATTTTAATACATTCTCCTCAACGTCTTGGATCGACCAACTCTGCGATTAACCTCTCGCAGTTTTCCATCGTATGTTTACGAATAGCTTCCTCCTCCAAATCGAACTTTCCTTTCGTAATTTCCAGTTTCACGGCTCTCGAAAAATCGAAACTGTTTGATCTCGACTATTATCGCAAAATTATAAATGAGACTTGCAAAATTTCACACTCGACGTTCCGAAGTCTTACGATTCGATGCAACTTCCCAACTCCGCCAGTGAAATATAGATGCATTTTGTGGCAACCGAAGGCTGCGAGCATGAAACGGCTTACAAAGCGTTGACATTTCCGAAATCGTGCACACGGGGAACCGAAGTTCGCGGCACACGCCATATCACGGGTGTAAACGAACTTTCGAAAATGCCATAGGTTTCCGCGACA